CCAGAACAGGAACAGATGGGAAATCTTCCAATGGGGACACTCATTTTGGTGACCCTGCCAACCACCATGGATTTCCCTTTCTTTGGAAGGATTTCCTCTTACTTCTTGTTGTGGTTGTCGGACAGGAAGTTAAGGGAAATCTTCCCAATGGGACACAGATGGTACAAAAATCTGACCATGGCTATAACCTTTCTTTACTCTATCCAAAGCGGAAAACAAAGTTTTGTCTTCGCTTCTACTGTCAAGCAATACAATTTTTGCTTTTCTTGGTATGTTGTGTTTTATCTACAAGGCTGTATTATGGTGTATGAGCTTTGTGGTGGGGAGGGGCGAGCGGTTTCCCCAAAACCAATAATCATCTGCCTTATGCTAGTTTTTTCTTTCCTTTTTATTTCATTGAATTATTATTATTATTATTATACAGGATTTATATAGTGCCAACAGTTTGCGCAGCGCTTTACAATATAAGGAAGACATTACAATTACAATACAATTCAAGACAAGATGGAAAGGAGGGCCCTGCCCCTGAGAGCTTACAATCTAAAATGGAGGGGCCACTGATACATGAGGCGGTAGCTGTGTGGGGATGAGTTGTTTGAGAACGTGATGGTTGAGTGGTTAGGTTGAGGTGGGATAGGCTTCCCTGAAGAGATGAGTCCTAAAGGATCGCCTAAAGGCAGTCAAGGTGGGAGATAGACAGACAGGTTGGGGTAAGGAGTTCCAAAGATTTGGAGAGACTCTAGAGAAGTCCCGTAGGCGAGCATTGGTGTAGGTGATGCGGATGCTGAAAAGCAGGAGGTCTTCGGGGGAGCGAAAGGGACGGTCAGGGTGATACTTTCAGACAAGGTTGGAGATGTATCCTGACAACTAGGATTGCACTGATACTAGTATCGGTATCGGTGCTGATGCGGAATATTTGGGCGAGTACTTGCCCAAATGCTCAGCTGCCTAGCCCGATACTTCTTGTATGAGGAAGCCGGGCACCGCGTCATTACACGCAGCTGGGCCAGCGTGTAATGACTTGCTGCCCGGCTTCCTGATTGGTCCGGAAGTTGGCCAATCAGGAAGCCAGGCGCCGTGTAAGGAATCTGGCCAATGCCAACCATTCACCAAAAACCTTCTATTTCTTTTATTTACAGGATGCAAGGCATTTTGTGAATGGACAAAGGGTTAGGAGGGGGCGACCAGAGGCCTGCACTGACGCAGCTTGTCATCCACGCAGCACCGCATGTATTTCGTTCCCGGTACATTCTGGCATGGGTGAGACTAGGATTTTGAAAGTAACCAGCATTTAGGATGGGAGATCATTAGAGGTAAAAAAAATTCTATAGAGCAAACGCCAAAATAAATAGGAATTTATCAAAACTGCAGTGGACAGAATGAGTAGCAACTGCCCATAGCAACCAATCAGTTTCTCTCTTCCAAGTTTAACTCATCAAACTAAAGAAAGAGAAGCTCATAGGTTGCCACGAGTAACGGCTCCATATTCTGTTTGCACCATAGAGTTTAGCTTTATGAAGGTAGAGAAAGGCTGCTTTAGACAATGAGCCCCTAGCCGTGTCCTTCTGCGGAGGGAGAGCTCCCCCTGGCGGCCACAGGCGGCAGTGAAGCAGCGGAGGCGTGCTGCACCTCCCTCTCCTGGCCGCTAGATGGCGCTGCGCGGGGTGCTCGGCTGGCTGCGGGCGCCCAGCTCCGTCCTCCCCTCTCTGTGTCTGAGTCGTGATGGCGGAGGACAGCGAGTCTGCGGCCAGCCAGCAGAGCCTGGAGCTGGACGACCAGGACACCTGCGGCATAGACGGCGACAATGAGGACGAGGCCGAGCATGCCAAGGGGTGAGAGGTGCTGGGGGGTGGGGATGCAGCATGCTGCAGGGCACACATCACCCATATGCACTACCTGTGTCATGTTGGAGCTGGGCCGGCACTACAGGGCTCAGCAAGCCCATATGCAGGCCATGGGGCTCTCACTAGGCCTGTCAGCATAGCCAGTGCCTCATAGCAGCCAGCAGAGCTGGGTACCAGCAATAGGGTCTTACCTGGCAACCCCAAGGGGCTGGTGCCCCCCACTAGGATGTATACGATGCCCAGGGTAAGAACTACCCACTGTGTCATGTGTTGGGCCTGGCATGGTACACCGCCATTGTCTCTCTATCCTGGCACATAGGGATGCAGCATGAGGGGTCAGGGCCAGATTCTGATTTTGGGGTCCCCGCCAAACCAGGTTTTCGGGGTTCTATAACATCTCTTCAGATCTGCTCACCATGGTAACGTGTGTTACTGTAACATCCGCTAGTCTCCCATGGCCTTGAATTCACCAGACAGTGGCGGCGATGACGCATATTCATGGTCCAGTTACGCCCTATGCGTGTAAGCGTTTGCACAGATGTTTACATGCAGACAGCGTTAAAATACGGTCACGATATGACCGCAGGCGCAGGTTTGGTAATGCAGCTCAATGCATAATGGACCTGTAGCATGCAACACTGCTGCGTTCAGATCACTATAAAACTATACGCCGTATGGAGCTGCATGTAGCGTATTATACGCTCGTGTGCGTCAGGCAGGTGTGTTGCAGTGATATTTTGCGTGGCACTCCTGACGCACAGCACATTTGTATTTTAGATGTGGGCCATCTGTGTGTCGCGGGGCGCTTTGTAAAAAACACGGCATGTCGGTAAAAATATGCGTTGCTGCGTGATGGCAGCCAATCAGAACGAATGTGCTGCCCTCATGTAGAGTGAATTACACTGATCTGTATGAGCCCAGCATGTGACGCGGCGGGGTCTCGGAGCAATGGCATAATGTTAGCGTCCACCATGACTTTAACAGGGCTGGGCATTGGGGCGTATGGAGGAGATTAACATTTTGGGTCGATGGTGACGCCCTCCCTCCAAACCATCCTCAGTAAGCATTCAATAGATCACAGTACAGACTTCAATCATACCAGACTGAATGCATCTTGGAGAAGCATTAGGAAATGCCTCCTCATAATGAATAATGCCCCCACGCATACACACAGCCCCGCCCTCATATGTAGCATTTCCTATTCCGTACTTGAAGCTGGACTCCCGCCCTCCCTTTGGTCTTGCACAGTTGTACCGGCTCCTCTCCTGGGCTGATATGGCTTCCTCTGACTTCACTGCACACTGTGAGCTTCTTACATTGTGCATTAGAAGCTGCATCAAGTCAGAGCCCGCCTCATTTCCTGGCTTGAACACATCCAGCATCATCTAGCTACTTCCTCTCCAGCCTGACTGTCCCTGGCCCGCCCCTTTCATTCATTGGATTGCAGTTCTTTCAATCATGAAGGCTTAGGATCACATTCCCTTTTAGATTGTAAGCCCTCACGGGGTAGGGCCCTCCTTACCATCTTGTCTTGAATTGTAATGTCTTCCTTATATTGTAAAGCGCTGTGCAAACTGTTGGCGCTATATAAATCCAGTATAATAATCTAATAATAATGTCGATATAAGGTTAAAGTTCAGCTCTAAAGGAACGCATCACTTTGCCTTTTCATAGGTTGTCCTGGCAGCCACCCCATGACCCACTGATAATATCATCACCCTCGCCCTGTTCATTTATTGGAGCCCTTGTAAGTACCCGGTTATGGAGGAAATGTGACTCTTATCCCAGGTTGTAGTGCTTGGTACCCGAATGGCCGGTCAGTCACCTGGCGTGTATACGATCATGTGGGAGAGGAGGAAAGTCATCAATCATGTCTAGGCTCCAACACAAACCATCACAGCATAGATCAGGGGTAGGCAACCTCAGCACTCCAGCTGTGGTGGAGCCACAAACGCCATCATGCCCTTCAGAGTCTTGCAATGCATCATGGGACCTATAGTTCCACCACTGCTGGTGTGCTGAGTTTGCCCACCCCTGGAATAGACTCAGGGCAGACAGGCAGAGCATGTGGAAGGTACCGGTGGAGAGGGTCCTACCAAGAAATCCTTGATTGGGCAAACTGACCGATTCTCTTTAATGGTGCTCACCCATTTTCCCCCTCCGGCCAGTGTCTGGTCTTATCACCCTTGTGTGTGCAGCTTGGGTCTCCTCATTGGTTCCCCCCAATTCTTTCATTTTTCATTAATTAGCTGTCTCTGGATCCCAGTACCAGTCTCAGTCAAACCAGAGGGGGCACCATGGAGAAGCATTAGGCTCCCCCCAATGAATGATGTACTCCTCTTACTATTTGAGGTTGAATAAAGACACAGGCCCATTGAGTTCATCTCATCCTGCCCTCCTTGTTGCTTCCTCAATACTAAGACTGCCCACCTATTGGAGTAGGTGTGACCCCCCCCTCTGGTTGGTGCCCGGTGCCAAGCTCTACATTATATCCCCATCCTTGTGCCTGCAGATCAGCTCTTTGCCATGGTTCCCCCAGACCTGCATGTTCTATATAGAAGCTAGGCACTTTACCCTCACCCCCTTCCTATACAAACATTCTGATTTCCTGATCTTGTGTTTTCTAGAGCCACCATGCTGTGGAATACGTCCAATCCGCTCCCCTTTTTACTCGGTGGTCATGGTGCCTCTTGCAATCCCTGTTACCTCGCTGACATTCGCCTTGTTGCATGCAGTACCCTGCGTTTGAACCTCGCTGTCTGGCGGGCGTGCTCTTTGTTCTGATTTGTTTCTAGGAAATGTCATTCCTGTCTCCTGACTCTTCTGGCTCGTCCACGAGAGGTGACACATGCACAGACACTGGTCAGAATCCTCTGTCTGGGACAGCGAGTCATTTCATCTCCTAATTCTAAATTTCTACTGAAAAAAGTGAAAAGCAGCCATAGGAATGTGAAGTGGGCACTCTGAATGCACGACGCATGCAAGCCTTGACTATACGGGGGGGTCCTGCACACCTCTGCTCTTCAGTATGCAGATTGCCTGGTTGTCATGCATATACATTGGTAGAAACTGACTGGCCAGATGTCCGCAATCCAATTTTACTGGCTGGATCAGATTCACAAAGTATAGAAGTCAGTCAGCCAGCAAGCTAGCATTTTCAGAAGGCAGTTTGCATATTTCTCTCGGTGCAGGTTTCCTTCTGTTCATCACATTATTGTTCCACGTTTTTGCTACATTATCACTATATGCATTTATCTATTAGGGCCGGTGCACACCTAGGCTACACCTCACCGTGCAGCAATCGTACACGATTCCCTGCTGATTGCTGCACAGTCAGGAGTCGCCTAGGTGTGCACCGATCTCGCTGTGGGTGCCCTTATTTTCTAATGACAACCCAGTCGCGCCGGGCGGATCGAAAACAGCCGTGTGTCGTGTATGACAAAAAAAAAGGTGCATGTACCTCTGCGATTGCCGCGCGGATGTTACCCCATTGAGTCAGGAGCATTGTGCAGGACCGCGCAATCCCGGGACGTGTGATGTAAAATAATAAAGGAACACAAAGTACTTTTTTAAATTGTGATTGTCCCAGAGAAGTTATATGTAATGCTTTGCCGACCACATCCGAAAGGTGGCTGGGGATGCTAAAATTGTTCATTTTATTTTTGTAATATACTACTATCAGCCGTGAGCTTCCACCACTTAGATTGACCATTCTGGATACTGTAAAGAAGAGAGCCCCTCAGTCTCCTCCTTTCTCTCTCTCCTCATTCATTCACAAAGAGGCGTACAGGAATAAAACATTTTTTAGTAGCCTAGCCTCCCTCCAGACTTGGCACAGTATTACATGTAACTTGACCAATCACAAAATTATCCTTATTTTTTTTTCCTGGAGTTCCCCTTTAAAGGAGAACTATCGGGTCAGGGCTTTTCCCATAGTTCTCCTTAACTTTAAGCTTTGTGGGCCCTTTCACTTTCTTGATCCAGCACCGGAGCCCGGAGAATTTTCTGGTATATCTGGGTATTCAGAAACACGTGACATTTCCCCGTCTACCTCAGTACAGCTCCCAATGTCTGATTAACCAATTGCCTTAGCTTAGTATTGTCACATGGGGGTGCTGGGCATAGCCTGGGGTAAGTTTCAGCTTTACATGAGAGCTGTGGCAGCAGATAAGGGTTGAAGGGGAATGTGGGAAGCCAAAATATGGCATGCACAATGTCTGCTAAAAAGAGACCCTGTGACTTTTCCTACTGTGGGCACAGTAACAAGAACATGGGCGCTCGTTATAGACAGACCCATCTCATCCTGCTACTCCTGTACTTGCATGTGCAACCTCGGTTCTGGTTCCATGTGCAGTTTGGTATTGTGGTCCCATGTTCAGTTATAGAGGTCATCGCTAAGCCTGGTATCTCATTGGCTGGAATTGATCCCCTGTATATAACAGAGGAAAGGTCCTGCTGCTGCTTGTGAGAGAGAACAACGTCTCCATGTTATTACATCAGTGGGGTTTCCCAGGTTTAGGGAATGATTCGGACAAGTTTGGATTTCATCCTGCAGGTTCGGATCACCACCCTACACTTCCTGAGCTATGAGATGGCCTTTGCTGCAGGAATAGGAAGCCCACAGTTGGGGAGTGTAGTGGACCCTCAGCGTGTTCCCTGCATTCACACATGCAGTCTTGGTGGCCGCTCCAGTCATGGGTTCAGCAAAGGCCGGCTAACTTCTTATGAAATGCAGTGTTGAATGCTTAAGGGCCCATTCACAACACATCCAGATCATCGCCAGGCCAGATTGCTCACACCAGCGCAGTCCGTTCCAGACCAGAAGAATACTGCTCGTCTCATTTTGTCTGGTCTGGAACGCATGGGAACGCACCAGAGAGCCCATTTTAAGCTAAAAAAAAAATGCTCCGGAATGTGGAAAAAACACGTTGCGCTGCATTTAAGATCTGGTCTGAGATCCCAGATCTGGGATCACATGTTATATATTA